AGCATTATTCAAGAGATAACTGCTTATTAATAAGTTAGTCCTAGGTGTGCAAATGACTTCAAAACTGACTTCAGAAAGATAAATCACAGAGACAAAAATAGCTGTGTTGAGTAGCTACCAAATACACTCAGAATGTAAGGTATTAATGTGGCTTCTAATATTTCATTGAGCTCAGGTGACAACTTAGATTCCACCTTTCTTATATAAAACTGTAATATTCTCTCTAGCAGCATTAGAGAACAAAGCCTAGAAAATGTTCTGCAATTTGCTAAGAGTTGCATATGTGTATTCTATTATTCCCCTTAAAATTATAACTATCATAATAACTCAGAACATGTCTTACATGCAGAAAACCTTGCCTATTGCATTTTTTACCTGTAAAATTTTTCTAATGATGAATGAGTTTAGTTTCTAACCCATATTTCTTGCCAAATCATTCACCATATTTTCTACCTATGTGTTGTGTATAACATTAATGTGGTTAACACACTTCAAAATGAACATGAGTGCTTTAAGTTGAGACAAAGCGGGGTTGTTCTCTGGAGTAAAATCTGTTGTATCAGCCATCTACTTCTACTACTTTATGCTAATAAAACATGTACAGTTACCAAATTTATTTCAACCTATCAACAAAAATCCTGCAAGGTGTATAGAAGTATTCCCATTTAACAAACTTCTAAAAAATGTTCAGGGCAAATAAGTGTCAGACAATCCATAGCTGAGACAGTCCAAATTTGAACCCAATACTACTAGAAAAACCCTTTCAAATGTACCAGAATTCACTGCCTTCCCACTTTGAGCCCACGACCTTCCTCTATGTAAATGCTTCTTTCACAATGCCTAATACATTCCAATGTATCGTTGCCCTGTATCTGCTTATCCCTCTTTTAACATGTAGCCCTACTTAGGCATGAACTAAGTCTTGCTATTCTCTGTATTCTCTTAAATTCACGTATTTATTTTCTTTTCACGCTGTCTTTTTCACATAGCCTGAAAAAGTTCTTTTAATGCAATTTATGTCAAGGACTCCCAGAGAAAAAGAAGACAAACTACTCTCTTCATCAGGGAGGTCCACAGAATCTGTAATGCCTTTAGGTTAACAAATATCTTCGCTGATCATTTTCTTCATAAACAGCAGGTGACTCCTACCCCACTTTCTTGTTCCTTCCCTTCTGATGACCGGTTCAGCCAGCTCCACTCTGCGTGGGTGCCTTTGAGCCAGGCTTTCAGGGCAAGCAACGTCAGAGAACAATGTCAGACCCATGTATGCTCTGAAAAGGTGACTTTCATAGGCAAAGGATTTCTACAGCAGTTGTGCAGGAGCCTGTAACTATGCTTTATAGTTTGGGACTCATGAAGTTTTGCTACTCCATTCAGTTTGGGAAGGCAATGTCATTTCCTGTTTCCCGCGAAACACCCGTTCACAGATGATTCCTGGAAAGCAAGGAGCCCACTGACAGTGCTCAGAACCTCTTTCTAAGGACTCAAGTGTAAAACCAGCTGGGTTCCTTTAGGGAGACCTGCCCTTACAGTGACAGGACTTGGGGGGCTTGGCTATGTCTCCCCCATCAGGAAAGCCAACTGAGCAGGGAGCCAGGACCCAGGAAGTATACACAGAGGCCTCCATGGGCCAAAATGTAAGTCCTGCCAAGTGACAGCCCAGCCCTGGGATCCAGCTTTGCAACTGCCCTGGCCTAAAAAGAAAACATCAGAGCCAGTGAAAGGATATAAAGGAGGTTATTATAGTCAAGGATTCTTAGAGCTACTTTGGATAGTTCTTATGTGTGGGTTGAACTGGCACTGTAGTCAGGACAAGAGCCAGGTGTAAGGAACCTGAAATACTTTCTCATCTCTTTGAACTAAGGACAAGCCTGGTTTGTGTGGTTAATTTCAAGTCTTTAAAAATGATTGATTTGTGGTTTTATATGATGGAGGGGACTACCAATACATGCTCTGAAGCAGGAGAAAACTTTCCATTTCCCTTTCTGTCACAGATGCACCAAGCGTCTGCCATACCCCTCCCTTACACACACCCCTCCCTTAGTTCTATTTGGATCAGAGCCTGAGGGATCAGGCTGGAGGTTGTGTCCAAAGTCACACTGCTGGTAAAGGAGAAAACCCACACCCAGACTCCACTCTTCTGCCTCCACATCTAAGGAGTTTGCCTCTTAAACACATTGCTTTTAATGAAGCCAAGTGGTAATTTAAGCCTAAACCTTCACTGTGGGATAAATTACTTGCCTTTAAGTGTACACCAATTCAAGAAACTTGTACCTGCTTAATTACTATCCCAAGGAAGATCTTGAATTAAGGTACATATTTCAGGGACATGCAGGAGCATTTCAAAGAGTGTACACGCACACACTGTGATTTAAAGGAATCAATTTCTAGATCCTCAGCTTCCTGATAGATAGATAGATAGATAGATAGATAGATAGATAGAATGATAGGTACTCTTCCCTTAAATCAACCTACCTGAGCATGCACTTGCAGACTGATTCTCCTCTCTTAAATCTCTCTTTAAAAAAAAAAAATTCATACCTCTTACCCATGATAACATTACTAAACCGCACTGCAATTGATTATAAAACTATCTGGCACAATTCATAATAAGCTGTCAGTGTTAAGAAAGATAATTGACTGTCCAGCTCTAAAATCTTACTGCAAGTTATATGGCTTTCAATTATTTGTTTTCAACAAAGTTAAAGGAAGACATACTAATCAGCTGATAATTCATTTAAACCTCACTGTAAGGATAGATTGCTCTGTAGATTTAGGTCATACAATTCAGAATAAGTTAGAAAAACTTAAGGATTCTGATAAGAAAAAGATCCTCCAATATCATCTATAAATATAAGCAATTCCTTTCAGTACTGTACTTATAGTTGAAACAAACCAAACACAAAAAAGAATTGATATTGAGACTTAATTCTAATATGTAGTATTTATTCAGAAATTGATATTTTAAAACTCTATTTTCAATCCAGTTAAACTTTCTATATTTAAATACAATGCATCAAATGCTCCATATTTTTCACAATGTTCATGCAATTGTGCTGCTTTTTGTAATTGTAAAGCTAATCCAATCAACACAATATAGGAGGGACTGGGGATATAACTCAGAGGCCCAAACACCTGCCTGGTACAGGCAGGGCCCGGAGTTTGATTCCCGGTACCAAAAATAATAATAATAATAATTACAATAATAATAATGATAATAAGAATATAAGAATGCAAGGACAAATAAGAGTGAAATAAATTCCAACTTTTAAAGAACTTCATCATGTGTTTTTTTTGTGATAAATGACACTGGCAGTCAAATGGCAATGGCACTTAGGTTCTATCCACTACATTTAAAAGTGACTTGACAATTGTATTTTAAAACATCAACACTTAAAGTAGTCTTAAATGTCATCCTTTGCAAACTTCCGATCTTAACGATGAAAAATTTTAGCTGTCAATACAGAAAGACTTGAGGAAGAGCATCTTTTCTCAGAAATTCTTAAAGTTAGCAAAAGCTTTTGATGACAATCTGCAAAATAAAATTAGGAGTACAAACATCAGTATCTTCTCAGAGCAAAAATACGAGAACAAGAATATAAGCAACAATCCTATGAGGCCAAAATTCAAACAAACTCAGAACAATGTGGTTAAGAATTATCAGGAGAAAAAGTGACTTGAGTCCCTTCTCAGCCTGTGTTTTAATACTGGATCCACAGGATACGGTATTACCTTGGCAGGCTCGCTGTGAGCAGGCAGAAACCAGGGCGAGAATGTGTTCCTCTACAGAGTAAAAATTACCTGCTCATCTCCATTGCAGTTATGATCGGCATCCAGCAAGGACCCACGCCCATTTCTTGTTTCAAGTTAAAATTAGGTTACTGGGTTGATCGCAGCGCTGAGGTCACACAGCTCTGCTGGAGCTCACCAGTGTGGGTAGGGGAGCAATGGCGATGCTACTGTGGCCCATGAGGCCGGCGACAGTGTTCAGAAGGGAGAAGGAACAACGAGAGAGTATCAAAAAGGAGAGATGAGCAGAGGGAGAAAAGAGAGACAAGTATGAAACTGAGGGTGGGGGCAGGGAGATTCTGATAAATAAAGGGCTCACGCACTGAGCTCACCCACCTGGCATTCACCAAGGTCGGCTTCTGGTGCCGCTGAAGGATGCGCCTGAGAATTGCAGGTTTATCCGCACCACTACCTGCACAATGGTTCTCAGTTATCCCACGTCCCAGTGAACAGAATGAAACACTAGCACCCAAGTGAGGGCTAAAGCAGCCACCAAAACACATGAGTTAATGAACATGGAACTTTACTATGCTAATCACTGAGCGCAAAGAGCAAATCACACAATCACATGTACGGTTTCCTTCTTAATAACTTGTTGCTTGATCCCTGCAATTCGAACTGTGTCATTTGAAAAGTTAGCACCGACTGCTGCTTTAAGATCACAGTCCTTCTCAACTCGCATTGTTCCCGACCTTGCCATAACACACAAAGCATTCAATATTCCTTCTTCATCTAACTTAACACCAACCTATGCGTACTCTGCCTCCTTTCTGAATACGTCCACTCCACCTTCCTGTGTAACCTCTTTTCGTCCCGAAACTCTGTTTCTCTACAAACCCTCTGCACTAAGAACCTGCTCTGTGCCACATGGCGTCCTTCGACCTACGATCCTAGCCTGGCCACGCTGTCTGCCTTAGATTTCTCCCTTCTATTTCTGTCACAATGGTAAGTGCTTGCTTACCTTTTACCAGGTTTGTTTCTGCTCTTGCTTCACTTATCTTCTTGGTTCTGTTTCATTCAGTGCCCTCATTTTCTTCAACTTCAAATACTACTGTTCTGGAAAATTCCATTTTCTCTGATTTTCTCCCCCAAATATTAGAAATATACTGAAGGTAAGTAGAACAGATGTAAGTCATCAGTGCCCTACCGTCACGGTCTCCTGCTACAGCTAGTCTCTGTGAACAGCACCTCCTTTCCCCAGAACGGCAAGCATGAGTCGCTGGAATCATCCACCTCTCCCTCCTCAAGCCCTTACTCTGAGCCCTGTCAGCTCTTTGCTCATACCTCTGTTCTCTCTCCTGCTCCCCAGGCCCTCCTGCCCCACGGTGCATGCGCTCACTGTATCTTATCCAAGCAATGGCTACTTCTTCAACGGCTCCACTTCAAGTGCTTTCCCTTGCCACCCTCCCTTCGTATGAATGACATGCTTTAAAGACCGTGGTTTTGACAGTCTCCATCTCTGTCCAGTGCAGTCCAAACTGCCCCGCCTGCATGTAAAGCACTTCCGGTCTAGCCCCACACTGACTATCCTCCCTTGTCTCTCAGGGCTCTCCCTCAGGCCACTAACTGCACTGGATCTGCACCATCCTCTGAGGTTGTGTGCCTTTACACATCTGTTCTTGTTTGCGCCAGCTGAAATGTTCTCAGTCGACTCCTCTTATTAAGTCAGCTTAGAAGCCCCTGCTCACCTGTGAGGCCTCCCTGAAGTCCACGTTGATAACGTGCTCCTCAACTTTCCCTGCCATCCAGCGCACGTGTGTCTCTGTTGAAGCAGGTGTCCTAACACGCCTTGCTGTAGAAAGTCACATGTTGTTTTCTCTGAAACTTTAAAACCCTCCACAAAGAATGTAATCATAATGTACTGCACATATGTACTAATAAAACTTAAAATAAGTAAAAATGTAAAAGCCTTTTGAGGGCAAAAAGCCTTATTATTGTTCTCTATTACTCACGTCGATTTTACATTTTGTAACTAAATGTATATTTAAGAGACAAGTTAATGAAAAACTATTGTCCATGTTGTCCCGACACTGTTTCTGTATGCTAACACTGCGCCTTTTCTCACAGGTGGTCTTGGAAGTAAACAGTGAATTTATCGTTGAGGTAATGTATAATGACACTTTTCTCTACTTAAAATCAAAAGACAATTGGGTTTTATAATATATATCAAACATTAGAATATTTGAAAAATGTAATCATCCAGGTAAAAGTTTGGAGAATGCATATCAGTCAAGCTGAAATAGCCATAGTAAAACTTATCTTCTCAAATTTTTATACTTTAGAGGCCTGGCTTGGGCAGGTCAGTGTCTCTGTAACTCTCACGCATAAAACCATGTTAGTACCCTACTTAAATGTTTCCCAATCTACCTAGAGTGGTGGTGCACACCTGTAACGCCAGTACTTGGGAGGCTGAGACAAGAGAAGCGCAGGGATCTGAGGCCAGCCTGGGCCACATAGTGATTTCAAGGCCACCCTGAAGTACTGGAGAGACTCTGTCTCAACACACACACACTCTCTCTCTCACACACACACACACACACACACACACAGTTTCCCAACCTATAACAAAGGAAGAAAAGAAACACTTAAAAACGGAAGATGATTTTTAGACATATCAACAAGAAGCTGGTCTACGAATGAATAAGGGAAAGATGAAAAAATTAAAAACACATAATTTCAATTAAATAAACCAACAGGAAATCTGCTGACAGAGCAGGACTCAGGAAATAGGACTACTGTCCTATATCTCTGGTGGTGCCTAATTTTATTGTGATAGTGAAATTTTTATTATGATCATCTGAAGTCATTGGAGAAAATGAAATTACATTTCTAGTCTCTGATGACAAAATAGGAAATATATGATCAACCCAGGAAGCTGAATTACAATGGACAGTATAGATGCATTGCTCCTTGAAATAATAATCTTCATGCACATGGAACTTCTCCACGCTAAAGTAATAATTAAATACAGCCTTAGCTGGAGCAAACATATAATCATCTATGTCTTCATAAGGACATTAGCACTTTCAAAAATAAATATATAAAGTTTGTGTATGTATACACATATGTTTATGCATGTAGTAGCATTTTGAAAGTCTTTAGTTATATAAAATTCTTAAGCATCCATGACCAACAGCAAAAAACTACAAAGGGAAAAACAAAGCAAGTAGAGACACAAATACACAACATCAAGAAGCCCTAGAGTGGTGCACTCCTATAATCCCAGCACTCGGGAGGCTGAGGCAGGAGGATAACTGCCAGTTCGAGGCCAGCCTGCACTACACAGTGAGTTCAAGCCCCTCCTGCATAGTGAAAACCTGTCTCAAAAAGAAAACAAAAAGAAGAAGCCATAGAGATGTCCATAGGCTCTATGGCCAGTGCCACCCTTTAGCTCACAGAAGTCTTCTAATTTTGCAGTAAGGCACTGGGATGCTGACCTTATCAACAGAAGAGAAAACTTCCTTCCTCGGTGTAGATGAGTGCAGCTTATATTTAGGATGAGATGCACTCATACAGAGGAGGGGAAGCCCTCAAACTCCAGGGGCAGCAAGGTCCTGTCAGAGCACAGGGAAGGTGATTTGAGCCAGGCTTCCACGTGGAGTAAAGAAAAGTTACAGCATAGTATGAATTATTGCACGTTGCAAACACCACATGGAGCTAATGGAATCTGTTTGACCAGAATCTTTAGAGTTAGCAGTGAGATGATTCCAGTAAAGTAGCAGTCAGGGTTAGGCAAACTATATTTATCCGCGGCTGAGAAACAGGAAAAAGTTCCTTTGCTCCTCAGGTTCAGTACCATCGTTTCTTCTGAGTGCACCTCACGATGTTAAATAAATGTCTGTGTTAAGTAAAAGTATCCTAACACTATAAGAACGTGAATTATCCTTGCTTAAGGTGAAAGAATTAGACATTGAAAATGGCACGACAACATGGCAAACCGTCAGAAGACAGAAGAGGGAGTGGATCAAGTTTGCCGCGGCCTGTCGGGAAGGAGAGGATAACTCGAAGAGGAATCCGATCGCCAGGGTAAGGGACAAAGCACAAGCCCCACAAGTGGGTCCTGCGCTGATAGCAAATGCGTGGCTAGCAGGAAAACTCTGACGTGCTGCAGGGATTTGAAGCCCATGTGTGTTTAAGAAAGTGACATGTAGTCACTTGCTTGTTTCTGAGGATCGTGTGCTGGTCGCTGAGGAAGAGCAAGTGAGCTTGGCAAGGGCGTCCTTGCCAAGTAATGCTAGGAGAACGGCTTGACTTGAGAGTGCAGATGGGCTTCGGCTATTTGTCTGTGGTCTACTCATTATTGCCTGCGTATGCGATAGCAAATTTACGGTCATCCGAAGACTAGCTCTTCAAACAGTCATGGGTTTACCACTGGACTTGGTTCATTCAGGAAAGTAAGGGTGGTGTCAAAGCCTCTAAATTCAGAATTAGGAGGGTCTGGAAAGTTCCTGGCAAACACTGGCTGCCAGTGGGAAGGAAAGGTAAAGTGAGGGTGTGTGATGACTTGATCTGTGACATCTGGGATCCACATAGCAGTTTTACTTGTTCTTTCTGGGCATCTTGGCCTTGGGCTGCTCTAGAATCCAACAGCAGGGTGATCTGCCCAGATCCCCTCCTTAGAGATTGACAGCAAAAACAGAGTGGGCATCGGCGGGGAGGGTGCAGACACAACCTCAGCTGCAGAAGAGCCTTGTGCTTTCTCAGAGCTTCCCAAATTGGAAAGATGCTTTTCAAGTATGACTTTCATTTAACTTATAGCTAGACTTTTATGTGATCCCACCTGCACTACACATGCTTTTTTATTTGCATTTTGGAGAGTTTTCTTCTATACATAAAAAAGATCTTTAGATGAGAACTGAGCTACCTGAAATTGTATCTTCAGCTGATTGTGATAAATGGAGATGTTTGGGTGACAAGTCTTAGTATTATGTCCGACATGCCCATCTTTAGTACAGAAGTGAGTGATAGATATAAAGCTATTAAAACAAAAGCCGTGTGACCAAAATCCATATTGGCCATAAAATCTCTTAGGCAGAAGCTAAGCATTGTGACCCATGCCTAGTCTAGCACTCTAAAATGCTGAGGCAGGAGGATTGCAAGTTCAGGCTCAGCCTGAGAAATTTAGCAACTTTACAAGATCTTTTATCAAAATGTTAGTAAGTAAATAAATACGCTGACAAGGTAGCTCAGTGTGAAGGTTCAACCCCCAGTACTGTGGCATTATATGCAATATAGTTAATATATAGTGACATTATGTACTGTGTATTATGTATTTGGCAGAAGAGTGATACATTAGATTTTTCCATATCTAAACACTATTTCTCTTCTAATTTTCTTAATATGTCTGTCATTTGACTGAATCTCCAACTCAGGTTTAAGCAGGGTATTTATTAGTGTAACACAAATTTTAAGAATTAGTAAAGTTTCTGATTTCTTCTGTCAGACTATACGCAAACAAAATCAGAGAACTGAGCAATGTATTATTAATAATAGAAAATCTGGTGTCACATATGCATGTGCGTATGCTTGTACACATTGGGCTAGGGTTGTATGTACACAGCCTCATACAGCCCACATAAAGGCTGTGTATGTGTACCAGTGCTGTCTCACCATAAGCTTGGAGAAGGTCAGTGATTTCAGGGTCCCACAGCACTAAGTCACTATGCTACATTTCAAACCAAAGCCCATCTAGCTGTGATTTCCTTTCCCTTTCGATTCCCTTTTGATTCTGGTTCACGACTGGGTCTAAATGAGATCAGCTCCTAACCATTTCACTTGTAGATTCGCTCAGACTGTGAAGCGAACCAGAAAATCACCTACCGCATCTCCGGGGCAGGGATTGATCGGCCACCTTATGGTGTGTTCACCATTAATCCTCGGACTGGGGAAATCAACATCACTTCGGTAGTGGACAGAGAAATAACTCCACTTTTCCTGGTAAGTCAGAGCAGTGTGTTTTCATTTATTCATACTATTTTTCTTCCCTTTTAAAAAAATTTCAGGACTATGAGCTTCCTTTTGATAAAACACAGGAGACTGGAACAAATGACAGGCTAGAACAGATGAGAAAAGGGTAGAAATGTAAGTTTACTATTGTTCCAGATTCTCTTGTGTGTTACAGCTACAAGTGACCGATGCCTTGATCATATTTACATTAGTAAATTACGGTAAAAAAATTATGATAATATAGTCCAAATTCAAGGGAAAGGCACTTCTTCATTTCTTTCCTCATGTGTTTTCAAACATGTTATCTAATTTCCTTTGGTGGAGAACAGCAGTTCTTTTTCTGACTTTCCACAGATCTACTGCCGAGCCCTGAATTCACGGGGCGAAGATTTAGAGAGTCCTCTAGAGCTCAGAGTCAAAGTCATGGACATAAATGACAATCCCCCAGTCTTCACCCAGAATGTCTACACTGCCAGCATCGAAGAGAACAGTGACGCCAGTAAGTGGAAAGACGCCCTTCTCTGCATTTACTACCTCCGTTTCCTTCGGGCAAAAGTTTTAGAAGGTTGACGTACTGGTCATTTAAAGATTGGGGGCATCAAGGAAACTTGTACTTTGAAAGAGCCTCATAAATTTTAACTTATTACTCAGAAAGGATAGAAATAGTGCTAACATATCCTTTTACTTGTAGAAGATTTTTATGCTTGCAGTTTAGAGGGGGTTGGCATCAGAGATTACAGGATTCGTGATTAACTTAATATAAATGAGTAAGCAGAGGAAGAGACCATGAATGTTTGAAAAGGCTCTGTTCTGGTGTATTCCTCAAAGTCTGTGGCTGAACCCTGCCAGGTAAAGGGACAGTGATGCCTCCACCCAGCTGCTCTGTCACACAGAGAGACCAACAGTCTTCACGTCTCTGCAGAAAGTGACATCCTGAGTGCTCGTGTGTTTGTTCCTTCCATCCTGCTTCATTCCACTTCCAAGTCTAATGCTTTCCTGTGTTCTCCCTTTGTATTAGTTCTCTTGAAACTCCTGTCTCTCTTTTTTTTTTCTTTTTTTGAAATAAGGTCTCCCTGTGTAGCCCCGGCTGGCCTTGAACTTACAGGTATCCTCCCGCCTCAGCACCCCCGGTGCTGGGATTACAAGCGTGCACCACCACGCCTGGCTAAACTTTTTTCCCTCTTACTTTTCTGTTTTTCCCATTGGCTCTTCTCGTTCCTCTTTCTATGCCTTCTGCCTCTTTTTCCTCCGCTCATCTAATATTCCTTCCCCTTTCGAATCTATCCCTGCCAACATATCTCTAAGTATATTGCAGGGGAAGTACTAGAAAAGGTAAATTTTAGAAGAAAGGCAAGGGATGGGACATGTAATACTGGAGGACACCAAGAGGCAGGGAGGAGACCCAAAACTCCTTCCTTGTCTCACTGTTGATGTGTTTCATTCAGCACAGTCTTAACAGGGGAAGAGAAGGTGAAACCCACCAAGTTCCCTAGGCTGGGATTAGCAAAGTATCAATGCTTTCTCAAATGAAACTAGTTTCTGAAGAAAGGGCTGCAAAGCCAGCACACATCTTCAGAACCTATAAAGTCCTTCAACCCTGGTTCTTTCTATTCAAGGAAGCCCTGAGTTTTTTACTTTGAGGCCTGGCCAGGAAACAAAAGAACATCAGGAACCTGCCGACTCTGGAAAACTCTGTCTGGTAGACTAATGTCCTTGGGATTGTGGCCAGGACAGCTGGTCTTGTCTCTATAAGTAATTAAGAACTGCTTAGATTCCTATGATCAAATCTTCTCTTCAGAGGGGCTGGGGATTTAGCTCAGCAGCAAAAGCGCCTGCCTGGCAAGCACAAGGTCGTGAGTTCGGTTCCCGGTATCGGAGAAAAAAAAAAAAAATCTTCTCTTCAGTTGTTACATATTTTTGAATGCTTGATAAGTGCTACTACCTTACGGTGCAATTATCTCTTTCTAGATGAATGACAGCTAGGAATATAGGTGCTCAATAAATAGTTGCAGTGCAATGTTGTCTTTAACTGAGCTATAATCTTTCTTAATTAAGTATTTAAGATAATTTCACAAAACCTTGGCAAAAACAGAACTGATAACATTGCTTCTTTTAGCTATAAATAGCCTACTGAACTTTTATTATATGTTAAAAACCACTACCTTTTGCTACTATTTTCCATGTAATCATTAAAGGAATACAAGTACTTCATAAATAGAAAGAGATTCGTAGAAGCAACCCACTTTTTTTTTGTAATCACTGGTATACATGTAAGATACAGTGACATGTTCTCATAGAAAACTTGAACAGAGATGACTCAGGAGAAAGCCAACCACTCTTCCTTTTTCTGCCTCAAGAGTTGATGCATTCATCCTAACAGTGCCAACCATTCTCCACTCTGTCTTTATTCCTAGATGCCCTGGTGGTAAAGCTAAGTGCCACTGACGCAGATGAAGACAACCACCTGAATTCTAAAATCGCCTACAAGATCATCTCTCAGGAGCCTGCAGGGGCACCCATGTTCATGGTGAACAGGTACACTGGAGAAGTCCGCACCATGTCCAGTTTCCTCGACAGAGAGGTAAAGCCTTCTGTGAATGAACCAAATAGTGCATGGTCTCGGTGGTGTGAGAAACCGAGAGTGTAAATAAGAACCTAATGTATAATAGATACTATAAAATAGGAAGAAATTGTTCAAAAGGAAAGAGAGGTGGAGATAGGAAGGGAAAAAAAATGAGGGGGAAAAGGATGAAATGGAAACAAATCTTTGTAAATAAGGAGGGGAAGAAGGATTGAAGGGAGCGGATGGGAATGGGATAAAAGAAGTAAGATGTATCATATACACATACAAGTTCCCTATGATGAATGTGATCATTATGTATATCTAAACTGTACCAATAAAAAAAAGAAATCAGTTTTGGAAAACAAAGATGAAATGACCCATGTGTGCCTTATTCCAATGTGAAAGAGAAAAGGAAAATTGTTCCATTCATTTTTAATGAAAATTAAAGATCAGTTATGTAGATTTCAGTTGACACTCTTGTAAAAGTAAGGACAAGTAATGGTCTTGGCATGTGTTGGGTTCCACTCCAGACAAAAGCTACACCTCACAACTCTTTTTCATCTTAATCAAGCAACACAGTATGTACAGCCTACTCGTGAGGGGTTCAGATCGGGATGGAGCTGCCGACGGGCTGTCCTCTGAGTGTGACTGCAGAATCAAGGTTTTAGACGTCAATGATAATTTCCCTGTCTTAGAAAAAACTTCAGTAAGTTGTTACCCTTGTGATCCTCTTTCTATAAATGTAGCTACTCAGGTCGCTCTCCTGCTAGTTTGTGAGCCTGGTTCCATCACATACCTGGATGGCTCAGCTTTGTCATGTAAACCTTGGAAATAAATGTGTATATTATGTTTGACTCACTATTCCAAGCAAACTTTCTCTATGAATGCAAGAGCTATCAACTCCATATAATTTACTCACAGAAATGTGGACATTTGTTGGCATACTTCTGAGAATAACGTAACAATAGTGGTACATTTGTCTTTGCTTCATGATTGACTGAATTAGTTCTACCAGAATCCCAAATATTTTCAACTTTTATTTTTATCTTTATGCATAAAGAAGTATAAAGTCCAACACTGTAGGGTCAAATCTGGATTGCCACTTATTTTGTTTTTTTTTTTTTTGGTTTTTCTCCGGTACCGGGAACCGAACTCACGACCTTGCGCTTGCCAGGCAGGCGCTTTTGCCGCTGAGCTAAATCCCCAGCCCCTGCCACTTATTTTGATAAAAATATATTTTATCAATTCATTCTTTTTCATGCTGTCTATGGCTTCTTTCTGCTGCGAAAGCAGATACAACAAGCCATAACACTGGTATTCTGGCCCATAAAGCTAATATATGAACTACCCGGCCCTTCAGAGAAAAATGTATGATCCCTTACCTAAAAGGAGAGTGAGATAAATTAAAAATAATCAGAAAAAAAACATGAAAAAAACTGATAGTTTGAGCTGAATTTTACATGCTATATATGAAAATCAGTTTTAGAATCATTTAATTCTTGTATTTCTGATGGGAAGTATGCCATTAATAATAGTGTAAAAATCATTGATCTAGTTTGTTGTTAGCATCTTATAAGATAGTTGTGTTAGTATCTTCATCCTTTTGAATATTCGTTGATTATGAAGTTGATCTATTTTATTTCAGTACTCAGCAAGTATCAAAGAGAATTGTTTGAGTTCAGAATTGATACGATTACAAGCAATTGATCTTGATGAAGAGGGTACTGATAATTGGTTGGCAAAATATATAATCCTCTCTGGAAATGAAGGAAACTGGTTTGATATTCAAACAGACCCACAAACCAATGAAGGCATTTTGCAGGTCATGAAGGTACAGTACGGGATTTACAATAATTTCTTCCAAAGACGTTTTAAATGATTCTTAGAGATACATTCTGCCACCAAAAAAAATACTATCACCTGACACACTGCTTATTCAGCAATAAGCTTCCTAAGAGGGCTACTGTGCCAGTCTGAGCCTTCCAACCCAGGAATACAATATTTACTATAAAACAAATCAAAAGGTAAAAGGCTATTTTGTTCTCCTAATGCCCAATATCTAGTTAAGAAGATAAAGCAAGAGCTCCAAATTACATAATGCATGACAGTGAGCAACTTTATAAATAGTGATACAGATTTTATATTACAAAACATAACTTCTAAGTGGATAAAATGAGGGGCTGGGGATTTAGCTCAGCGGCAAAAGCGCCTGCCTGGCAAGTGCAAGGTCGTGAGTTCGGTTCCCGGTACCGGAGAAAAACCAAAAAAAAAAAAAAACAAAAAACAAAAAAAACAAAATAAGTGGATAAAATGAAAATAATTAATGACAGAAAAGGAGGGGAGACCCTTGTGCGCTAGATTCACCTGAAAATTCTTCTTCAAAGAATGAGGTTTAAGGAAGACGTTATATCTGAGGTTGTTAACGTAGAGAAGACACAAAGCATGTTCAGGGCCTGGCGAGTATTCTTGCAGGAAAAGCTGAGATGTCGAGTTAGAGTTGTTCTGCTGAGAGCTCTGAATGCTGAACTATAGGTTTGACTTTGCACTGCAGATTAATTTTGCTTAAACCACTTAATTATTTTAGTTCATACACAACAATAAAATCTAAGGACTTACAAATTTAAAACCACAAACCAGTAAGATTCAGATCAACGTTCATATAGTGAGGAAAGCCAGTTGTGAGCACATTCCTGTAATTCCAGCACTCGGGAGGCCGAGGCAAGAGGATCACCAAGCCATTGAGGCCAGCCTGGGCTACATAGTGAGTTCAAGGGCAGCCTGAACTACATAGTGAAACCCAGTCTCAAAAAAACAACAAAAAAAAATTTTCCAACACCTAAAAGGAAATGCTTTGGGGTATTGTCTTAAGTAGAAATAACATTAGAGGCTGAACTCTGGAAGTTTAAAGTTATGAAAATAATTGTATTAATCAAATCCTAAGATACTAAGAATCTGATCAGAGGCAATAGCAATAAAAAAGGAAGCAAGTGAACCAATATGAAAACCACCGCCAAATGTAAAATAAATAGGAATAAAAGAACAAGAGGCCACTTACCAGATCAAGTTTTGAATATTTCCAAAGATCAGAATTTTGTTAAAACTTGCATTGTGATTAAAAATCCAGATCAGGGGGAAGCAACTCTTGACCTCTCCTCTCATCACCTTAATCACTGACTCAGCGTGGTATCTATCTTCTATGTTTTTTCATGGGTACATTTTAGATATGCACAATGATAACATTCCCCATGGGGAGTTTGTGCCTCTACATGATATACCTTGCTTCTTCTTCTTCCATCCCCTCCCCTTCCTTCAACCCTTCTTCCTGTCCTTATTTCAAAGGCTTTGTTTCCATTTTATCCTTCTATTCTTTTTTCTCGTCCCTTCTTTCCCTTCCCCCTCCTGCCTCTCTTGTTTCTCTTCTCATTTGAACGTTTTCTTCCCATTTCCCATTGTCTATTACACATTTTGGTCCTTATTTATACTTTCGGTTTCTCATAGCAGAGAAACAATGCAATATTTAAACACATATGTCCAAGTTATTTCACTTAAGACTATGGGCTCAAAGTACATCCATTTAGCTAGAAATGACTCAATCTTATCCTTCTTTATGGCAAAGTAGTATTTTATTGTATAAAAAAAAAAAAAAAACACATTTTAGCCAGGCATGGGGTCACATGTCTGTAATCCCAGCACTCAGAGGCTGAGGCAGGAAAATCACCATGAGTTCAAGGCCAGCCTGGGCTACATAGTGAGACCCTGTCTTAGAGAAGAAAGAAAAGAAAAGGAAAGTAAAGAAAAAAGAAAAAAAAAGAAAAGAAAAGACCACATCTTCTTTACCCGTCCATCAGTTGATGGGCATTTGGGCTGTTTCCAAGATTTAATTACTACAAATTGTGCCACTATAAACGTGTGCACATATTGGTGTGGTATGATGCTTTTAATTCTTTTAGGAAGATACCCAGAAGGGGTATAATGGGGTTGAATGGGACCTCTAGTCCTAGTTTTTTGAGAAATCTCTACACTGATTTCCACAGTGATTGCATCAGTCTATACTCCTACCAACAATGGAGAAGGTTCCTTTCTCCCCTACCACCCCTCCCACATTTGTTATTGGTTGATTTCTTGATAATAAGCATTCCTTCCAGAGTGAAATGGAGTCTCAGTGTTGTTTTAATTTGCATCTCTCAAAGGACCAGGAATGTTGAACATTTTTTCATATATTTATCTGCCATTTCTCCTTCTCCATCTGAGAAGTGTCTATTCATTTCAGGTGTCTATTTTTGGGGCTGGACTTTTACATTTAGGTGTCTGATTTTCCTGAGTTCTTTATATATTTTAGGTATGACTTCCTTGTCTGAGGAACAGCTGGCAAAAATTTTTCCCAGTCTGTGGTTGTCTCTTCATTCTGTTAGTGGTTTCTTTTGAGGTACAAAGCCTTTTAATAAAATGAGATCCCAGTTGTTGATTCTTTGTGATAGTTCCTGTATGACCAGGGTTTGTCCATAAAGTCTTTGCCTACACTAGTGTCTTAATGAGTTCTACCTATTTTATCTTCCAGCAGATTTAGTGTTTCTGTTTTAATATTTAGATCTTTAATCCATTTCATTTTAGTTTAGTGCATGGTAACGATATGAATCTAGTTCTAATCTTTGGCATGCAGAAAGCCAGTTTTTCCAGCTCTGTTTTCTAAAGATGCTATCTTTCTTCTAATGATGGTGTTTAGCTCCTTTGTCAAAGATAAGGTGGCTGAGTATGTTTGGAGTTCCTTCCGCATCTTCTAATCTGTCCCATTGATCCTCAGGTCTGTTTTTTGCCAGTACCATGGTGATTTTATCACAGTAGCTTTGTAGTATAATTTTAAGTCAGGGATTGTGAAGCCCCCTGCCTTGTCGTTGTTGCCCAGAATTGCTTTTGCTATTCTAGGTCTCTTCTGGTCCCAAATGAATTTTAGGATTGTTTTCAACAATTCTATGAGATATGCTATTAGTATTTTCATTGGGATTGCACTGAACCTATACAACAATTTTGGTTCTTCAATTCCACTATATTGGTTCTTCCTATCCAAGAAAAAGGACTATCTTTCCATTTTCTGGTATCGTCTTCCATCTCCTTTTTTAGAGCACTGTAGTTTTGAATGTAAGGATCTTTTACTTCCTTCACTGGGTTGATTCCTAAGTATTTCTTTTTAGGGGTGCTATTTTAAATTGCTGTTCTTTAGTTTCTCTCTCAGTGAGTTATTTGTGTGCAAGAATGCTATTGATTTTTGAGTGTGAACTTTGTAAGCATAGTACCTAGTAATATATAACTGTTCTTTACTTTTGATATGTTTCTCGAACTAGTAAAATAGTAGTAAGAACTTTGCACATAAACAACTCAAACTGATATTTTTCCACCTCCAGCTCCTGGTCCAGTGTGTATGTGTGCATGCATGTGTGTGTGTGCATGCTTTCACTTCAATATCGAAAAAAAAGTCAAAACACTACCCAAATGAAATTCTAACAAAAATGCAGGTTGTTTATACTTTAATAATTTTAACTGAACATTTTTAAGCCATTACAATACTAACCACCAACTAAAATGGTATATTTTATGTGTTGAGGCTTTCCATACAATACCTCACTTACTCCTCACAACTCTGAGAAGAAAATATAGTGATGTCCTCTTTCTAGAAAGTGAAACAAAACCAAAGAGGAAAGCTAGCTTGTCTTCATTCGTCTAGATGGAAAATTACAAAGACAAGATCCCACTAGACCTCCCTGATCCCAAAGTCCTGTTTAACTACCACATCTACACAATCAGGGGCCAATAAACAGGAAAGAGCTAATGCCCTGAGATTTTCTGTTTGAGTCTGTTCACCTCTAAAAACCTCCCACCTGTGTGTGTCCTAATCGCCTCTTCTAGTAAGGTAAAACATGTGCCTTCTACTAGATATGTACCCTTTTCCTCAGCCTCTGCCACGATAAAACTGTCACATGCTCTTTTTGCAAGGAAATTTCTAGTCTTCTACCTCATTCACACTTAGCTCTAAAATGTATCAAGATTCTCCTAAATGTATCAGGATCCCCCATCACAACAGACAAAAAAAGAAGTCAGACAAACAAACAAAACTAGGTGTGAGACTCTAACAGCTTAGCTTCCATGTTAAATTTTACTGTAGCAAAAACACTGCCCAAAGCCTAATCCATCTCTGGAAGGGTTCTCTTGCGGAGCCATGTTCTAGATCACCATGGTGACATACACCTCCTTGTCCTATCAAGCAGTTATTTTTCAGCTATGCCTTGAGTGACAATGAAGAAGTTTTTCCAGTCCCTCCATTCAGCCCATGAAGAGACTCGTTGTTTATATTACTCTTTGTGAATCTCAGACCTGTAGACACAATCAGAAAATCCTTGATAAGGAGCCTTACTGGCAAAGAGCTAACGCAACTTTCTGCTTTTCACTACTTTATTTTTTCTTTTTTTTTTTTTTGTTTGGGTTTTTCTCCCATACCGGGAACCGAACTCACGACCTTGCACTTGCCAGGCAGGCGCTTTTGCCACTGAGCTAAATCCCCAGCCCCCTACTTTATTTTTTCTTATTCAACCTGCTGGAGGAAATATTAGCCCTCTATCAACTTACTGTCCCGAATGTCTGTGGATTTCTATAACTGATACAACTTTAGACACATATTAATGTGCTTGATCACATGATAAATAAAAGTACATTTGTGTGTATACATAAGAATGCCCTCGAGAGAGTTCTCCTTCACAATAGATTTTGCAAATTTTTCATTTGTTTAAAGCTAATATGACATTCAAGAAAATAAAAATTGAGTTCTAGAAGAGATATTTCTTCTGGATGAAAATTCATCTAAATTTATATACACCTCTGTACTAGGTATTATGGGACCAGGCCCATCATGTAGACCAGTGGACTAGGTATCATGGGGTCATCTGTGAAACGTGTAAAAACAATCACTATGCCAAACCTGCAGGTTTTAGGTGAAATTCAAGTGAGGCATACTGGGTCATTCCAAACAAAAAACCAAATGAGTTGCTGTAAATATTTCTGACTTTTTTTTAACTCTTCTGAAAAATTTAACTCTAAAAAATCTAAGAAAACAATGATGATGTTATTAAATTTCCCTGGGGGCTCTCATAATTTGACCTCTGTCATTGGCAAATATGCTGCAAATGATACCAGAGAGCACCTGGAGACAGGGTAGCCAGCCCTCCCTTTTATACAATGATGTCTTCACTTGTGACTTTTTATGTTGTTGTATCATTCACTCTGAATCAAAAGATTCTATTCATCTTTTCCCCAGAAATCCCAGTTGAAAGGTGACTTCTTTCAGGGTGTGGTACTTACTTATTTGAATGATCCCTATAAAGGATTCTTATCCTCCAAACTCCAATGCAATTATAGTGTACAGCTGGCTATAATAATCATGAGTTCTTTAGATATGTCTGCATCATTTAAAAATAATTACACATTTAATGACATCATATATATTGGCTCCTTTATTCTGTTTGGGTTTTTTGGGGGGTACGGGAATTGAACTCAGGACCTTGTGCTTGCCAGGCAGGTGCTGTGCCACTGAGCTAAATAAACCCCAGCCCTATTCTGTTGCTAATACTTTCAAGAGATTCTCAGATGTGAATTCTGAAAAGGAAATCTGGATCCTATTTAATTACTCACTTCACAGTTGTCAACATTTTTTATCACATTCTAAATTTACTTTTTATTTTTCATAAACAGTTTGACCATCCTTCTGTTTTAGAGTTCTCATATATGAAATTTAAAGCTTCAAAATGTGATTACAATTTGAAGTTGTGGGCTTAAATGACATACATACCTGATCATGCCAAGATAGGGACAGTAAATATCTAAAATATCTAATGCAGTAGTAACTAATATTTTTTCAATTCAAAATCTAACTTGCATCACTCCTGTAATGTGTTCTAGTGTGTGGCTTGCTTACTACCTCTGTAGTCTATCAAACAGTCCTTGGCTGATTCAAAGTCTTTCACTTTCCATCATTTCAGACGTTGGATTATGAGAAAATGCCTAATGTTCTTCTTAGTATTGGAGTTAAAAACCAAGCTGAATTTCACCATTCAGTTGCCTCTCAATTCCGGATGCAATCAACCCCTGTGAGAATTCAGATTGTTAATGTAAGAGAAGGACCCATGTTTCATCCAACTTCCAAGACTTTCAGTGTACGAGAAGGAATAGCAGGACATTCCTTACTGACTCATGTGCTCGGCACGTACACCGCCATAGATTTGGATACAGGAAGTCCTGCAACAAATGTCAGGTACTGGTCACAATGTGTTTGTGTTAGTGTGGCATGGTTCAGGCCAGTGTTAACGCATGTTGCTTGTGCTAGTATATGTCGGTTGTAACACTTTCACAATTTTTTTTTGTTCCTCTTGTTTGTTTCAGAAAGCTACTATAAAATGTGAAATTTTCTTAGCATTTTAAGTGTTTTAGAGGGTGGGAAGGCTCTGGTTAATTAGATGAGTAGTTGTGTCCAGAGAACAATTGTAAGATCAAAGAATTACCTAAGTTACTCTAAGAGTGTCTTTGATCTTTGGGGGTGGATTGTACTACCCTGGACTAGGGCTGGTTAAGCCATATTGGATTAAATAACACACCACAAAAAATGAGTCACTGTTTGTTTCCTTAAAACTTGTATTTATGACTTGGAGATTAATTTCAACCCTCTGCTTAATGTAAGAGGAAAAAACAATGGAAGAAACTAAAACACAGGTGTTTCAGAAATTTGATAAGATAGAGCCAGAACAAGAGAAATGGAACGGCAGGTATAAAGAATACTAGATATATAGACTTTACATCAATGAGGACTATTGAGATATTCTGGAAATAACTTACAGGAAATAGGTCTTCCCCACATCCTTCCTGTCTCTGTCTCCCTTGCTTTCCTTTCTTCCTCTTGATATCTTTTAGAATGAAAAAAGTCTACTGACTTATAAGTTACTTTGATGTTAACTGTTTAATTTAATTAGCTAACAAGTTGACAGATTCTAGGAAAATTGTGAAGTCAGTAAGTACAGAGAAAAGGAAAAAAGTATCAAATAAATGAACTAAAGATTGAAAATTGTGCCTGGTAAAGGAGACCAAGCCTTCCAATAAGGTCATTTAATCCATTATTGAAACAAATCCTAAATAGAGACACCAAGAGAAGAATCTCAAGCCCTTGACTAGGCAAGCAATGAGAACACACCTTCAATTCTACAACAAACTTCCTAAGTCCACCACGTATAAAAATGTGTAAATAATCTTTGATTTTGATAACAAAATATATTTGATATTGCTGTGATGCAACAAATAGATCTGAAATAAACTCCTACATTTTATTAATTATACTAAGAACTGTAAAAGTGTAAGTGATAAACTTTCAAAACTGCTGTAAACCTATGTATTAATACATTTAATATGGGATTTCTATTAATAGGTATATCTTACTTTTTTAACAGTTTCTTAGTGTGTATGGATTATATAGATTAATGGGTTTTATTTTGGCTGATTTGCACATGCATATAGCATGTATAAATTTAACCATCTTTTCCATCACCCCTGTAAACCAAAAGAACTGATACTGTAGAGCACATAAACACAATATATAAGTTGATCATGTTGCAGCTCTTGTGTGATTTTGAAGTACTAATTTTCCTACAAGCATAATTATGAACTTATTTATTTAAAAACAGGTATATCATAGGGCATGATGCAGGCAGCTGGTTAAAAGTTGATTCAAGGACTGGTGAGATACAGTTTTCTAGGGAATTTGATAAGAAGTCAAAATACATTATCAATGGGATATACACAGCAGAGATCCTGGCTATAGATGGTAAGAAAATGTCTTTTCAACATGTTAATAAAATTTGTGCTATTATATTTTAAGTATTATAGTATTATTCTAACTTGATATTTGAATAACACATAATACATTATTTAGTAGTGTAAACATGACTGAAGGAGGATTCTAAGTACCTTAGATCAAGAACTAAATTTAGTTACGCTTATAATTTACACTTAAGCTATAATTTAATATAATATACACTTCGCTTACTTCCTAAAAAGATTTATATCTGGCTTACCTCATAAAGCATAAGAGTTAAAGATAAAGTTTAGTTTCTCTTTATAACCTCATCCCTTGAGTAAAGCTGATCTCACCTGTAGAGTATGTCAGGAATGTTTGCCTCAAGTAACAGCTACGGGGTATATACAAAGTTCACTGTGGGACCATCTGGCAGTGAGACAATGTCCCCAATGGTAGAGTTATTTTAGTGCCACCAAAACTGGGCTACAGGGACAAACCTGACTGAGTGTTGCTTGGTTAGATGTATCATTCATAGTAAGATATCATGGACCAAGAAGGTGCAAGGTTATTCCAAATATAAGATCCCAAGTAAAAGTCATAAGCTCACATGCACTGAGTTCATTGGAACTGAGCCATTTCTCCCATGGGAAAATGTATTACACATTCTTCTTGGTGAACAGAAAGAGGAATTTATTTATTTATCAATAGTTAATGATTCTCCAGCACAGTGCCTAGGAAACTAGCTGCCACAGAACAAAACAGAGAAAGGTCAGCAACCAGGAAGAAAGGGAAAGAGAGGTGTCCCAATTACAGGCCAAACATAACATAGGTTTGCATTAAATTTATATCAGACCTTTACAGTAGCCAAACAAAAAGAAAGATAAATGAGCAGCATAAGATTCAAAGAGAAATACGCAGGAATTGTATGAAGACAAAATTGGAAAGTTGAATGCAGACAAAAGACATTTTGGGAAGAGTGAGCAGGATGGACAAGAATCTTGAGCTAAGGAAAAACTTGTCCCAAAAAAGCTCAGAAGAAGCCAGGGGGCCTGGAACACAGCACACAAAGGCGAGAGTGGCCACGGCTCACCTAGGGAGGCAGAAGCCTGTCAGGCCCCACGAGTCAGTCACTCCACTCTGGTGCTACACGCTGCGCATTGTCATGGACTACAGAGAAAGGACTTTCTCCCAACACCATTTCCCTCAATGTACTTGTACTATTTTATTTTTCAGATGGTTCTGGGAAGACCGCTACAGGAACCATTTGTATTGAGGTTCCTGATGTCAACGATTACTGTCCAGTTGTTTATTCAGAGAGAAATATCATCTGCACTAACTCTCCATCAGTCCTTATCTATGTTAGTGACTCTTCCTACGGCTCTCCCTTTACCTTCTGCGTTGTGGACCAGCCACCAGAAACAACTCCCACGTGGGATATCAGATCCATAAACGGTAAGTGGAATGTATACCTCTTCACACTTTATATCGAAAAGCAAAACAGTCTCCAAATGATCAGCCACATCATATAATAACACTTCCTCTTTTCCCATAAGTTTTGCCATGTTCATATTAAATGAAAAAAAAAAGAACTTCGTGTAAAGATTAGGGCATTGGGGAACATTTTTAGACAAATAAAATCAAAATGTTCATTCACACTGCAGTCACAAATACTCATATACACTTATATAGATTATATATAGTCATATATATCAGTTTAGTGTTATTTTAGTATATAGATAGGCAGTAAACCAATATCTGATCCTTTGAAATGAAAAGAACTCTAACTCACCACGTCACAATTCCTATTCAGAAAAATTTCAGGCAAGTCACACACAGGTCTGTGAAACTCAGATATCCCATAGATACATTTACACACATTCTACTTATTCAGGAACATAAATAGTCAATGATATTGTTTCTATAGAGCTACTAGATCAGACTTATTTGCAAGGGTAAAATTTTAAATTCAAATTGTCTAAAATTAGAATGATTGCTCAAACTATGCTCATACTATTAGGATGTGCTATTATACTACCATCAAAATAACAAGTATGCAAAGTATTTAAATACAAAAGAATGCATAAATCAAAAAGGTAAAGTGAAAAACAGATTCCAAAGTAGTTTGTGTGTGTGTGCTGACAACAGTTATGTAAAAATCAATGCCTGACTCTGATTTTTAAAAAAAGAGAGTATATTTCCAACAACACAACATTTTATCTACCTTGAGCTATTTTTCCTAAAGTATTAAATGTATAATAGAAAATAAGATGGCATAAGGAGACCTGAGATAGTTCCCCTATCCCACATTCATAGGATCGGTAGGAAAGATTCTGTTGGGTACCGAGGTGGGGCTCAGACTGCAGAGTCCCAGGGAAGAGGAAATACTTCCCACCTCTCTGAGGTCACCAGACTTCATTCACAGAATTTAGAGAGTAGAAAACCCTAAATGATACCAGGGAAAATGCCATCAATAAATACTATACACTTGGTCTAAAGAGGAAATTAGGCAACTTACTTTTACCACTAAACTTACCAGTTTTTTTTTTTTTCAACAAAACCACTTTCATATTTTAAGAAGCAGATCACATTAAAGCACTTCCACTAAAATCTACTTTTGTTAATAAAGCTAAATAAACCATTCTTAGTAATTACTTATTTTTTCTTCATTCAGATCCTAATTATTCTGAGTAAAACTGTAAGAAAAAAAAATTCTACATGGAAGTTGGTAAAACTATTCAACTGGTATTATAGATTTGCCAGTAAAAAATATAGCCACACAGAAAAGGATATTCCAAGAGCCTATTTCAATGCTGGTGTTGAAGGATGAAATGAATTTCCACCTAACATGCTGTGATACTGTCTTATCTGATTATTGCTTTGTGCACAGCATAGATTTTAGTAAACAGAGCTGGCATGTCATATAGTTACATAAAGGTAGCAAATCATAATAATAAAAATGTGTGCTATGATTAATCCATTACTATTCAAGATTTAAGCATAAATTTAGTCATCTCTATTCCTTCCATGAATTGATTAATAAATTTCAAATATTTTAAGCAATATTTTTTGTAAAAATCCATAGGCAGTAATAGCACCAAAAATTAGAGGAATAGTTATTGGGTTGATTTCAAATGAAAAGGCAACAATTTTAAATGAGATAAACAATAGTCTTAAGTAAGATATTTTATAAATTATAATCCTAAAAGTAAGACTTTCAGTATTTTCTTTTTGCTCAATATTATTCCTTGCTAGGCGAAGATTTATTGAGTGCATATTATATGTTGAGTACTATTGTTCTGGAAATAAACAGAATCCCCACCTGTATGTAGAAGTAACATTCTAGCAGGCAGCAGTATTAAATAATAAATTTTATCTTTGGGTTTTTCTGTATGTGCATGAGACAGGGTCTCACTAAGTAGTTCAGACTGGCCTCGAACTCACTATGTAGCCCAAGCTGGTTTTGAACTCATAGTGATCCTCCTGCCTCAGCCTCTCAAGTGCTGGGATTACAGATGTGCACCACCACACCTGGCTTGAACAATAAATTTTAAATGAAAATAAAAATAAAAGGGCAGGGTGCTCTATGATCAAGAGCATGAAAACCCCAGGCTCTACATTAGTCTTGGGTATTAAGTGTCACCACAAGGAATTTAAATTATTCCATTTCCTCTCTTCCTTTTCAGGTACTGCTGCTGTCCTTATGACCGAGCAGATGTTATCAGAGCAACTTTACCAAGTCCCCATCCTCGTAAAGGACAGCTACAACAGACAATGCGAACTGCCTCAGATTGTACAGTTAAACGCCTGCGACTGTGACAGCAATCACATGTGCTGGCAGTGGAGTACCACGGGCATCTATAACGGGGATGTCGGCTCAGTCACCGATGACATGAATGGGTTTGTCACTGGTTCCGGAGTTGGGGATTCAAATGGTGGGCTTGGATCAGCGGGGATCGCCATGATTGTCCTGGGCCTCTTACTACTGCTTCGTAAGTATTGGATTAAGTCATCGTTTTTCAGCTGTCCTTCAAAATAGGGCTCTCTAGCTCACTAGGATGCTTATATTAGGCTCATGTGACTCTATTTTCATGTCTGTAGCAATTTTTGTGTGCCTTTGGAAATAGATATACAATAGGACCTATTAGAAAAGTGCCTATCAGTAATGATACCTAAGATCAAGGATGAATGTGAGTTGAGAAACATGAAAGTCACTAAGTGTAATATAGAAAAACAGAAAACTAATCCTGCAATGGAAATATCATCAAAATGCTTTAAGAGCGAAAAGACAGAGTTCAAGATAGGGAGGTTGGGAAAGTCTTCATGGAAGAACTGGATTTTGAGCTGGATGGGAGAGCTGTCTTTTCTCAGAAGAATGACATACATGGGAAAACCCAAAAGACAATCTAGGAAAAGAAATCCCAGAAACAAACAGGAGGCAGTGAAGGATGTAGCCCTGTGGAAGAGTGCGTACCCCAACACCAAACCAAACTAACACAACAGGCAAGCAAAGGGGACAGAAAGGCGCAACAGACTCAGGAAGCAGAGAAACGGAAGGTAGGTTGGGGCCAGCATGCAGACGAGTTCATGACACATCACTGTGGGCCTCAGTCCACAGAGAAGGAGAAAATGGTGAGCACTTGGGGCTCAGGGGACCTGCTCACAGTGATGTAGTAGAATGACTATGAGTTCAGAAAAACAAATGTACCCTCAGCTCTGTCTGGACTGAAGCATAGTTACAGGAATGGCAAGACCCCCAAAGAAAACTTTTAGAGAGATTCTCCTCTCTGCATATCTTTTGCAAAAACATGTAGGTCCTCAGAAGAGAGATATTTCATGGATTTTAAGTTGTACCTGCAATATTTAGATTTTCTGGGGATCAAATACAGAATTCTGAAAATTTTTTTTATAGATTTTTCTCTTTTCTTTTTTTTTTTTTTTTTTTTTGGTGTTTTTGAGACAGGGTCTCGCTATGCAGTTCAGGCTGGCCTGACCTCACTTTGTAGCCCACGCTGGTCTCGAACTCACAACAATCCTCCTGCCTCAGCCTCCCGAGTGCTGGGATTAGAGGTGTGCGCCACCACGCCCAGCCAGAATTCTAAAATTTAAAAAGATTAAACTCATCAAGCTGTATACTTAACCTGTGTTAATATATGAGCACAAGTTAAAATATTAGCATTTTAAAGTACTAAAAAACTGACTTTCAGGCAGGCCTTCTTTCTTAAAACAATTGTGAGTTTGCAAGAATGTGCAAAAACCATGAATGATTCTCCAAATTATGTTAGAGATGTTTTCCCAGAATATGATTCTACAGCAACTGCGTAGAGGTGGCAGCTAACCTTTCTATCAGTGGTCTCAAGCCCAGTTGCAAATAAGAGTCCGTCAGAGGTCTCTAAAAGTATTCACACCTGAGTACTAACCTAAAGCGAGCCACAAGCATGGCCATGTTTAAGTCCCCTGGGACCTAGAGTTAAAAATCCAATATCAGCTCTAATTTCAGCAGGCTAGTACTAAGAATGTCATCATTCTTCCTGGCTCAGACAAAAAAAGCAAGAGCACTGTAAAATGCATTACAGAAAAGCAAGGAAAAGCCCTATGAACTATGTCACTTGTCTTCAATGGAGAAGCCCATGATCTGTCCTAGGGAAGAGGGGCAGTGTGATGTGGGAGGTGAGAGAATTAAGCTCAAACCTTAGTTTGAATCCAAAGGAATTCAAATTAAGACTTTTTACTCTAGCTTGAAACCAATTTACACATATGGTAATTGTATTTGCCATGTGCTAAAAAGATTGCATTTGTTAATTAGTGCTTTTGCTAGAGCTTATGGTACAAAGGTGCATGACCCAGTACTCACGGTGTGCATGGAAATAGTGTAGGTGGAGCAGCTACACCGAGGCGACAGTCCCTGTTTGAGTCCTTTTCCAGAAAGCTTTCTGAAAATGTAAAAGTTGACCTTCCATTGTTTGTGATCCAGATGGGAGGTAAAATTGTCAAATTAACTCTTTTTAATGAAACGCGTAAGAGGACTGATTTGGTACCTTTGAAATTCTTGTCTGAACCTTTAATTAACCCAGTCAGTAAAATACATGCTGTGTGAGGGAATTAGGAAAATATGACAGGCAATTTGAGTAGATTCCAAGAACTAAAAGGAATATATTCTAGAATCTTAGAAAACTTCTCTGTAATTATAGACCAAAGTGGAGGCGATTATCAAGATAATATAGGAAACATTTTTTGTTAGTAGAAACATTTGGAGGGTTCAAACTTTGTGATAGCTTTGATTTTCCATTATATGTGATAGACAAATTATTGGGGGAGTGCCAGGAATCAAACCCAGCACTTCATACACACAAAGCATGTACTCTATGAAGCTACATCCTGAGACCCAGGATATAGTCTTAAAATAATGAATGTAAATAGCACAGTTAAATTTAGTGGGTGATATTTGATGGTTTTAAGTATAAATGTAATGAGAACTGAGGAAAGGTCCTATCTCTAGGTCTTATAACTGAATCTTGTAGCCCAGTCTCTTGAAAATATATATTTCTGGTATGTTTAACTTACAAATGGATATGCTCTACCTGATTGTGTGTGTTCGTACAAACAGCTTTCTATGTGGGTGTGCCAATATAGGCATGATCTATGTATAACCAGTGTACTATGCATGTACCTGTGGATGCACACATGCCCATGGAAACATACATTTATATTTTTATTTATGCATGTGTGTGCATCGATATACTCCAGCTCCTCAATTTAAGATAATTCTTAGTAAACCCATAGCAAATATAAAAGCTCATAAGTTGAAAGCACATTTACTACACCTAACGATCTAACATCATAACTTGGCAACACAGCACCCTGTGGGACAGTGGGTGACCAGGAGCTTCAGCTCACTGTCCCTGCCCAGCTTCAAAGGAGATTATTGGGCAGCAGTTATCACTAGCCAGGAAAAAGATCAAAATTCAAATTTCCAACTAGCCTCTAGCATCACTTTGACACCATTGTAAATCAAAACATCACAAGTCAAACCACTGTAAGTCTTGTACCATCTGCAAAGACCCAGAGATGCTTCAATATGTATATACATACATATATATAAATTCACATGCACGTCTATGGGAGCCTAGCATCCAAAAACTGGACTGGAATCCTACATATGCCACAAACTAGCTCAGGACTGTTGGACTGGAGTGAAGACTGGAATTTGTTCTCCTAAATGTCAGGAAAGAACTTGGGTCCTCGCATTCCAGCTCCGAAGTCCTCTGTGGCTTGGTGGGTCTGTATTTATAGACATGGATATGTATGCTTGATCCTCTAGGAGGGCACAGTGATACGTACACCCTTGGCTCTAGCAATGATACATTCACTGACTTCCTAACTTGAGCAATGGCTGCTAACTCTTCTCCACCACTCTCTTGGGCAGTGTCGCCACTCTTGCTGCTCCTGTGCTGCTGCAAACGACGACAGCCAGAAGGCCTGGGGACCAGGTTTGCTCCCGTGCCCGAGGGGGGCGAAGGAGTGATGCAGCCCTGGAGAATAGAAGGGGCCCATCCTGAGGACAGGGTGAGGCATCTGTCACTTCCAGGGAAGCAGGGATTTCCATGGAAACAGAGCATCCCTTGACCCTGACACACCACACAAAAGTGAAGAGAGGTCAGCATAAAAATACTTACCATGAAACATTTACCATGAAAAACTTTGCTTTTTTTCAGGATGTGTCACATATATGCGGACCCATGACAGCCTCTAACACCCAGGATCGTATTGACTCTTCTGGTCAGTAAACATCATATTCTGTTTTCCTTTTTAAAATATGCAAAACTATTCAATCAGGCCAATCTCTTGTACGAGTACCTTATTTTGAAACAATAGAGTATCTGTCAAAGTCCATAAAGGATAGTGTGGCAAGAGGGAAAGTGATGTGTGACATAGGTACTTTATGTTTTAATCTTAAAGTCCACTGTAGGAAGTACGATTCCGAAATTAAAGAGCAGACTCTGAAACCAAAATGCATAGGTTAGGGGCTGGGGATTTAGCTCAGCGGCAAAGCGCCTGCCTGGCAAGCACAAGGTTGTGAGTTCAGTTCCCGGTACCGGAGAAAAACCAAAAAAAAAAA